ACATTTTTAGCGATTATGCTGATTTTTTTTTGCTACTACGTTTCGCTGTAGCGAAAAAAAAAGTCGGATTCATTTCAACTTTTTGCGAATCGCCATAAGGGAAAACCAATCAAGTTTTGAATATTATATCACGCGATGTCAACAGTAAAAAATGCGAAAACATGTTGTTTTTAAAGTAACAAAAAACAAAATTCTTAACCTGGCTTTCTTATTAATTTTATATGATTTCACTATGAAAATTGGCAAGCATGAGTAAATTCAACAAACAAGGAGCAAGACTTATATAAAAAAATGACCACACTTATATATAAAACTAAATCAAGAATTTACAAATTTAAATTCACACTGTCAATTACAAAAGTTACACTTCATAAGAATGTTTATCTTCAAGTGGCCACACAAAGATAAACCTTTTTGTGAAAAACCCTACATAGAGTTAAACCTGCTGTTCGTTCTTACAGTAACAGTTTTTTGATAGAAATGTTCATATCAGAGTTTAGCATTTATTTTCTTATACTTTCTTGTAAAAAAAACCTTATATTAAATGATTATATTACAAAATGATATTACATCTTACATATAAAGACAGAAATGTTAATATTAATTCAACGAAAGAAATTTCACATGCTTCAAAGTAGAAAGTATGCTAAAAAAGTAATAAATGCTTTTAGTTAAACATACAACGTAAACTTGTTGCTGCCATTTTTATTGTTGACAACAAAAAAAAGTATTGCGAAAGAAAGTCAGTGGAAATCAAAACAGCATTTTGTCATTGCGAAAAAATTCGCTTAGCGCGAATATTTCGTCTTGTGGAAAACGGCCTTTAATATTTGTTCCCAAAATAATTATTTGTTTCCAAAACTTTTAAAATAATTATTTGTTTCCAAAACTTTTAAAATAATTTTATTTGTTTATGTGACACAATGATCGCAAAAAGTGACCAATAGAGCCATCCAGTTACGTAGACCTTGGAGATGTGAAAATAAAAACAGTTAGTAAATAGTGCGGTTGAATAAAAAATAGAAAATCATAAGAAAATATAGAATGAGTGGTAAGACTTATGCGAAGGTAAAGAACGAAGTTGGATGCTCAGGGGGCAGGGGGAGAAACAACTCTAGTCACTTTGTGTGTAGATCATATGTAACATAGAACAATTATTTGATAAACTGATTTTAGTGACTGTTGATGTCTACAGGTGTGATGGTGTAGTGCATTAGTATGTTTCGTTTGGTCTTTTAATATGGTCTCGTTATGGTTCCGTTCACTTTCAAATCGGGTGAATAGAAAGCTTAACACACTCACTTCTTGCGCTTATGGGCTAGCACATCAGAGCCAGACATAAGACCTACAGAATGCATTTCAATTGATCGAATCCACACATTAGTCACTGTAGGCCACAAGCCATCATTCTTAGACAAAAGAGCTACAGCTACAAAAGAGCTGGTGTGGAATGATGTGCTATGAAGTGAGATTTTAGATCCAAGCACATAGTCAGCGAGCGCTGATCCGATGTGCATTGTGGAGCTTCCGACTGAATGTGTTCATGAGTGTCAGCGTAGTCATTAGGTTATTGAGCGCCGTAAACACATCCAGCGAGATAGCCCAATGTCTGTTTTGTTGTTGTGGTGTACATTGGAAAAAGTTGGGGCTCACCAGCCACAAAGAATAAATTTTTTTGTTTAAGCGACACAATAATCGTAAAAAGTGACCAACAGAGCCGTTCACTTATGTAGATCTGGGAGAAGTGAAAACGTGAAAAGTAGATGTGAAAAGTAGGTGTAAGAAAATGTGAAAAGTAGATTGTAGATGATGTTATTGGGTAAGAATCATGAATGAATGTGTACAGACTATTTTGTAGGAGGAATAAAACTTTAGGACTCAGTGAAAGAGTGAACAATAACTCACGCTCTAGTCATCTTAAGCAAATGATAAAACATTGGTCTATGAGTAAACAAGTATGTATAAATCTGCTGGTGTTTAAATGGTTGTCATGACTAAAAATATCAGACATAAAATGATGAAATAAAATAAGTAAATAAAAAAACGGTAATAAATAATTGTTTGGGCAATATAAAAAGGAAAAAACAAAATTATGCAAACTACTAAGTTTGAATTCTGAATCTTCAGATTATGACACAAAACGCTAACCACCATGCTATAGTGTCGATATGTAAACGTGAAAAAAATGTTTATAAATTTGGTATAATAAATGTACTAAACAGTAAAAAATAGGAAACTGACAACTCCCTGTGAGTCAGCAAAATTTTTAAATATCGTGATAAAAACAAATATATAATAAAAAGCTATTATATGGTTATAAGAGGTAAAAAAATGTTGGTGCCATGATAACAAATAAGAATTAAGTAGTGAATAAATGGTGATCCCCCTCCTCAGGAATGCACTGCCATAACCAATGATGGATTGGCCTTTTCATAGAAGACCTTCAATTTTACCAAGACAATTATTGCAGATTCCCATCTGGGAGTCTGCAAAAATTTAATAGATTAAGATAAGATAATAATATAGTTGCTCCCTATTTTTTTAATATAATAAAGTATAGTTTATAAATAGTATATAAATATACTACAGGGACGACGACACGGAGGGAGGGGTCAACCCCTCCCCCCGTGTTTTTTTCTAAAGGACCTTTTTTTTTTTTTTTTATAAGAAAAACCTTGATATAAAAGACTTTTTTCACAAATTGATGATTGTGGCCCCCCCTCCTCTCACTTCAAAACCTGTGTCATCGGTCCTGTACTATAATATATATTTTAAATTTGATATAATATTGTTTTTAGTAATTAACATTGATTTTATAGTTTTAATAATGTATTTAATGTTTGCTCCCAAAAGTTTTTAAATAATTATTTGTTTCCAAAAGTTTTAAAATAATTATAGACTAAAATAATGGTTTAATAATTTTTTGTTAAAATATTTTCTGACTCTTTATTATTTGATGAGATTATGTTTATATTATAGATCTGGTTACACAATGCTGGGTTGTATCAGCTATAGCTAAATTAGTATCTAACTTTGATGACATACACATTAGACCAGTTGAAAAGATACATTTTAAGACAATAGATGCCAGACAAAGATATATTGAGATGTGTAATTTTAAAACATATTCAAAATCAACTATCTCTTGTAAATGTAACTTAAAACAGTTTGATAGTAATTTACCGTTTCTTGATGAGTTTGTAAACAGCTGTCTTCAAAAGGGTGTAAAGAGTTATTCTCCGCATTATACTTCAAAGCAGAAAACGGAAGGTTTAAAATCATGCTTTATTCTTATTTTTTTCTGATTATTATTTAACTATATATGTTATAATTCTTTACTGCAGATAATTGTAAATAACTATTTAACAGGTTAATTACTGTTTATTAAAGTTTATTACTGCAGTGAATTTTTTAACAACAGTTTATTACATTATATGCAGTTATTAATTATTATTTAGCTGTGAACTAAATAATTAAACTAAAGTTGATTGCTTATTATTATAAAGAAATAATAATAATAATAGTAATAATAATAGTAATAATAATAATAATAATAATAATAATAATAATAATAATAATAATAATAATAATAATAATAATAGTAATAATGATTATAATAATAATAATAATAACAATTATAATAGTTATTATTACTACTCTGTTTTTAGTATCATTAGAAAATGTTGAACTTATCTATGAGCACCGAAGTATAACCCAAAAACCTGATTCTTCTACTGAAAAAATAAAAATGAATGAAGTTGCAAAAAAAGAAACAAAAAATATAAAGATGTTGAAGTATTTTTATTTTTTTACTTTTTAAGTTGAAAAAAAAATTTATTTGAAAAATGTTGTTAAATTATAAAGTTTTTTTTAAAAGTTCTTTTTATGATTTAACATGTTGTTATTATTTATTATATTTTTTTTAAATTTATTTATTATATTTTTTTTAAATTTATTATTTTGATAAACTTACATTTTGGTAGCTTTTAAGTTTGCATACAGTATATATTAGGGTGTAAATTTTTATATAATTTTGCTTCATTTGAGTACCAGGTTGACATATTTTTGAAAAACCTTTTTTTTGAAAATATTAGGGACCCATTCCATATTCGAGGTTCTTGATTACACATATATATATATATATATATATATATATATATATATATATATATATATATATATATATATATGATATATATATATATATATATATATATATATATATATATATATATATATATATATATATATATATATATATATATATATATATATATATATGTATATATATATATATATATATATGTATATATATATATATATACACTAGGGGTAGTCATTTTTAGGGAATTTTTGAAATCGAAGTACATACCCAGCTAAAGTTGGAGCAAATATGCTAAAACTTTGTCAAAATTTTTTTTAGGTCAATCAGGTGACTTTTAAGTCCCCCTCAAGACTAAAGTTGTTAAGAAATTGTACTTCAAAAAAGGAAAAATAGGGTGTGTTCAGGGTGTTTAAGGGGGATTTAAATGAAAAAATTATTTCCATTTTTTTTTTTTTTTTTTGTTATTTGATATCTATATTTTCATTTTAAAAAGGTATGTCATCATGTTTTTTACATATTCTTGGTTAAAACAATATTTATGAAAGGAAAAAAATAAAAATTTTATGTTACGCAAGAGGTTATGAAAATTGGCAACGATAAAAAAATTCTTATAAAATAATGCAGAAGAAAATGTGCTGAAGATCCTGCACTGTATTTTTAAGTCACTAAGTGTTTTTATAAAGAAATTGTACGTGAAATTGCGTTACATTATTTTATATTTGTAAATAACTTTCGTATTTACTTGATTGTTAATCATTGAATTACAATATAAAGTAAAATTGTATTGAAGTTTTTAATTAATTACAGACCATTAAATATATTTAGATTGAATACAAAAATGGAAAAAAAAATTGTAAAAGATATTGGGAAGAGGAAGTTTCTTAGATCAAGCAAAAACAAACTTTTTATCATAAATGAGGCTAAACCAGCTATTACATGTACATATCTAATTTAAAAAAATTGTTTTGAATTTTAAATTTTTTTTTAAAAATTAAAATATTGATTTTTTTTTTCTTAAGGTCTTCAACTCCCTACTGGAATGAATGTTCTTCAACACATTGTCTACAGAAGATCACTACTTCCTCATAATGTTAAGAAGTCAGAAGCCTCCTTACAAGATTCAGGGTTACAAGAGATGTGAAGTAGATGATTGTGAATGCATTTTAGGCTTAATTAAAAGACCATGGCTTAAAGCGGGATTTCAAGTAATGTCAGATAAAAGTATTATCAAGAACCTTATGAAGATGGACAAGAAGTATTCAGATTTGAGTAGAAATAAATGCAGAGGAGCAGCTAGAGACAAGGTTAATCAAGGGGAGTTTATTTCATTTTCGAAAAAGCTGTTTTGGATTGGTTCTACAGATTTAAAGAACCAAATTAGGAAGGATAAAAAACGCTCAGATAAAGATAAGCACGATGATTTAACTTTTTTGGAAGACCAGGAAGGACCGAGATATTTTAGTTTGGGATCAGAAGATAGAAAATTTAGCAAAAAGGTTTTGTGTTGTTTTTATTGGGTTAATTTGACGTTTTTTATTCAAATTTGCTAATTTAACATACATTATTTGTTAATACACATACACTATGTTAAAACAAATTTTAGGTTTCTGAAGGTGAGATGAAGAGGACAAGGCTAGAAGACGAATCTCCGAAGATTGATGCTACCTCAGAATTAGACTTAAATTTCACTGACACTAGCGCTGATTCTGATTCAGAATTTGAACCCGAAGTTTGGCATCATAGAAGAGCAGATGATTGCAACATTACTGCCAAAGTCCCTAAGAATATTTTTGATGGAAATGTATCTATCATAGCTACAGCAAATGATATCTCCCCCCAATGTCTTACAAAAAGTAACTGGAGCAATTCTTCAAGATTGTGGAGTTGATATCGCAAAATGCAAAGCCAGTGCTTCAACAGCATTAAGGAAGATGAAAAAAACTGCCAAGGATACTGCAGAAATTGCTAAATTAGATATAAAGAAGGCCGTGGAAAAAAGCCGTTATCCCTGTATAATTCATTTTGACGGAAAGACTTTGTTTGAAATAAATCAGGGAAAAAGACTAAAGAATGAAAGATTAGCTGTGCTCGTTAATATTGAGGGGGTGTCGCATCTTCTTGGAGTACCTGCCTTGCCGTCTTCTTCAGGTGAAAATATGTATATAGGAATCATGAAAATACTAGAAGAATATGACCTCATTTCAAAAGTATGCGGAGTATGCTTTGATACAACTTCAAGTAATACTGGTTCTAAGAAAGGATCACTTACTAGGATTGCAAGAGAGGTTGACAAATACCTTCTTCTACTAGCATGTAGGCATCATATCATTGAGCTTAGAATGGTTCATTTCTGTGAAGCAGTGATAAAAGAGAATAGCGTAGGGCCTGAAAATCCTTTATTTGTAAAGTTTAAACATATGTTTGAGAACCCTAACTTCAAATACGACGAAAATAACCTGACCTCTCTTGATTGGAAAACCGTGGAAGGAACAGTTTTGAAGGAAGCTGCAAGGAACACTTTAGATTACTGTGAGACCTATATTACTAAAAAATGCAATATGAGGAATGACCGAAGAGAGTTGGCTGAGCTAACCATGCAGTATTTATCCCCTTCTGCACATTTCAAATTAAAGAAAACTGGAGCTGTTCATCATGCTAGGTTTTTAGGCAAGAGTTTATACTACCTTAAACTTCAGCTTTTGTGCAAGCAACTGACATTTGTGCAAGAAAATGATAATCTACGCGAAGATTTAAAACTCATCTGCGAGTTCATAGTATGTTTTTACACAAGGTGGTACCTTCAAGCACATAAAGCAATTCAATCTCCTGCGTCTGATCTTGATGCAATCTTTCAGATAAAAGAGTATAAGAAAGTTTGCTCCAATGCGGAGGCAGTAGATGCAGTGTTAGCATCTCTTTATAAGCATTCATGGTATCTTGATTCAACGATTATTCCCTTGGCTCTTTTGGATAAAAATATTTCTATAGATAAAAAAACAGCCATTGCAGATGCTTTGCTTTCCTTCCAAATGCCAGATCCAGATTTTTTTAAACATAGAAGCAAAGATCGAATAGGCGAGATTAATATCATAAATAATATGAAGGTACCAACCCTCTCTCTTTTGGTTAATGAGTTTTCATATTTAATTTTTTCAATGATAGGGTTGGATAATCAGAGAGTGAGAGACTGGTTGTCACTTCCACCCCAATATTGGCACACCCAGTCCTCGTTTAAGAATTTTGAAAACTTTGCCAAAATGTTAATTGTTGTCAATGATCATCCTGAACGAGCAATCGGAATGATGCAGAAGTTTGTACAAAGATTCGAAAATGAGGATGACAAGCAGAACAGACTTTTAACTGTCGACAAAGTAAGGTCAACTTTCAAGGTTTTTGGTGTGGGAAAAAGTAATAATATAAAAAAAAAACTATCAGAAAGCCTGATGTCACTCTCTAAATTAAAGAAAAGGAAATTGTAGGCTTAGGAAATTGTTATTCATTTTAAAATACTTATTTCAATTAATGCATAATTTTTGTCTTGATAGTATTTGTAAAGATTTTAATTAAATGGTAAATTACTTGTTTAGTTCAAAATAGTTTGTTTTTTTGGTTGATTTAAGTGGGAATTTTTACGACTGTCCATCTGAATGATCTTTAAGTATGAAAATACATAATTTACTGATTTCATAACCACTTGCGTAAATTAAACTTTTCATTTTTTGATTTCTTAAATATCGTTTTAACCAAGAATATGTAAAAAACATGATGACATACCCTTTTAAAATGAAAATATAGATATCAAATAACAAAAAAAAAAAAAAATGGAAATAATTTTTTCATTTAAATCCCCCTCAAACACCCTGAACACACCCTATTTTTCCTTTTTTGAAGTACAATTTCTTAACAACTTTAGTCTTGAGGGGGACTTAAAAGTCACCCGATTGACCTAAAAAAACTTTTGACAAAGTTTTAGCATATTTGCTCCAACTTTAGCTGGGTATGTACTTCGATTTCAAAAATTCCCTAAAAATGACTACCCCTAATATACACATTCGATAGATTTCTATTAAGTTAGCATACAGTGTGACTAACATTAAATTTGCATACAGTATAGCTGTTGTTAAGTTTGCTTACAGTATGACTGCTGTTAAGTTTCCATACAGTGTGACCATTGTTAAATTTTTTACAATCTGACTGTTGTTAAATTTTAACTGTGTGAAAATTGTTAATTTTGCATATAGTGTGACTGTATAATAAAAATAAATTTATAATAAATTCTGCTTTGTTTAATTTTTTAAAACTCTGAGGTTGATCTACAAAAGAGTGAGGCAACTAAGCTACTAGTTTTAAGACAAAACACAATAAAGTTCTATAACAACTTAAAAAATAAAACTCTATAACAAATTACAAAATACAATAACATAAATTATAATTATGGTTGTTATTCAAGATTCAATTATATATATATATATATATATATATATATATATATATATATATATATATATATATATATATATATATATATATATATATATGTTTTTTATTAATATCTTTAGATCCAAGAAGGCTGCAAAAAATCATTATTTTGATCAAGCAGCATATCCATTGATGGAACCATATAGTTCTCTAGCATCTCTCTATATATATGTTGGTTGATTCAGCCTGTATAAATGTTATGCACACCTATTCCAATAAAATTAAAGCATCCCCAAATACCAGCATTTTTACCACCACATCGGTTCAACAAAGCAATTAATAAACTTTTCTGATTTAATCTCTTAACAAGAACCAATAATTTTTAATTATAGTAATTTATTACTTCTAAGTTGCTTTCATCACTAAAAATTACTTGCATCCACTTCTCTAAAGACCACCCAATTCTCTACTTACACCACCTTAATCTTGTAAGCTGATCTCTGACTATGGGTTTTCTAACAGCTGCATAAAGACCAATTTTTTTCCTCAATAAAACGTTTTAAACTGTATTTGAAAAAGTACATTTTTCAGGATTTTTATTTAATGTGTTAGTAAGTTTACAATAATTTAACCTCAGATTGGTTTTTATTGATTTTTACTTAAGAAAATATAAGACTATTTTTGTTGGATGCCAGCTGTTGTTTTAAATGTCTTTATGAGTATATCTGACGCAATTCTATGAAATTTTTATTGATCATTTAGGCATCCTTCATACCTATTATTTACCACTGTTACTTCCCTTACTGCTTTTTGAACCATTTCTAGGTATCTTAACTTTTAGGTCTTATCAAAATATTTCAAAAGGCTTTAAATGTGATTAAACTGGTCATCATAAGTTAATTTATCCAACCTTTAATAGTAAACTGTTAAATTAACATATAAACTAATATAATAGTTATGGTTACCATTTGAGTTGAGAAGAAAAAAATTTTTAAAAATTTGTTTGCCTTTTTTTTAACTTTTTCTGGCGTGTTTAACATAAATAAATTATTAAAAAAAAGTGACCATGTTATTAACATGTTGTATGTATCACGGACGACGCTGCAATTAAATTCATAATTATTGTCCACAAGCATTAAATTCTTTTAAATTTTAAGGTATTTTTTTGTTGTTTTTTTTTCCATTTCATTTTAAAATATTTTGAATAAGACTAAAATTCTTTGTTCAAATAGATTTATTTTTAAGCTTTCTAAAAAACAACTTTTTTAGTGTATTTATAGAAAATGTTTAATCTTCATGTCAGTTTAAATAAAATGAAAAGATAAAAAAAAATGGTATCACGTTTTTTATATTCTATTCAAGATTTATTGTTATAATAATTTTTAGTTATAAGTTTATTATGTGTTACCAACATATAAGATATAAAAAGAAACATTTGTTTGGCTTTTGAGTATCAAGATATGTTCATTCTAATAAACTTTTGAGTACAGTATGTTGAAGTATGAGTATTGAATATTAAATAAATTTAATAATTGAGTAATATAACTGTAGTAACTTAACTAATTGTTTTGATTTAGTTCATCAGTAAATTTACTATGATGTTCTTTATATCAAACTAAGTTTAACTTTACTATGATGTTCTTTATATCAAACTAGGTTTAACTTTAAAATAAAAGTAGCATATTATTGGCTTCCACGCAGAGATTTAAAGTAGTTAAAAATTTTTTTTTAAATAATAAGGGCAAATCTGTTATTCCTTCTCTCTTGTATGGTTCAGACTTTGTCACCTCACCTAAAGACAAAGCTGAATTGTTTGCTAAGAACTTTTCATCAATATCATCTCTTGATTCCGTTTGAGTTGCGTTTTACCTGACATAGCTGTCAAACAGGTTGATCCCTTGCTTGACATTCGCATCACTTCAGCTTCTGTATCTAAAGTAATTTCCTGCTTAGACTCTTCAACAGCTTGTGGTCCTGACAACATTCCTGTTGTAGTTTTGCAGAGGTGTTCTTCGGAGCTTTCATCCATACTTTCTAAACTATTTAACAAGTGCTTATCAGAGTCTTGTTTTCCATCATGCTGGAAAGCAGCATCTGTTATCCCTATTTTCAAAAATTCCGGAGAGCGATCTGATTCATCTAACTACCGTCCCATTAGTCTTCTTCCTGTCATAAGCAAGGTTTTTGAATCTTTAATCAACAAACACGTAATCTCTCATCTTGAATCAAATAACTTACTTTCTGATCATCAATATGGATTTCGGTCTTCTCGTTCTACAGCTGATGTGCTAACAGTAATAACCGATAGGTTTTACCGTGCATTAGATAGAGGTGGAGAGGTTAAGGCTATCGCACTTGACATTTCTAAAGCTTTTGATAAAGTTTGGCATGCTGGTCTTCTCCATAAGCTTTCTTCTTATGGTGTAGCTGGTAACCTTTTTAAGATTATTGAGTCCTTTCTTTCCAATCGTAGTATAAAAGTTGTCCTCGATGGACAACACTCTTCTTCACATCCTGTAACTTCAGGGGTTCCTCAAGGTTCAATCCTTGGCCCTATACTCTTTTTAATTTACATTAACGATCTTCCAGATATTCTCACATCTAAGGTGGCATTATTCGCTGACGACACTACCATTTACTCTTGTCATGATAAAAAGCCTACACTCTCTGATTGCTTGGAGGGGGTATCTGAGCTTGAAAAGGATCTCACTTCTGCTACAGCATGGGGCTCACAGTGGCTGGTGAACTTTAATTCAGATAAAACTCAATTTTATTCGGCCAATCGTTATCGTAATAATTTAGATCTTCCTATATTTATGAATGGTAATGTACTAGATGAGTCATCTACCATTCATCTTCTAGGATTAACTCTTACTTCTGATCTTTCTTTTAAACCGTATATCAAATCCATTGCAAAATTAGCATCTGCTAAGGTTGCATCTCTTTATCGAGCTCGACACTTTCTTACTCCAGATTCTATTCTCTATCTCTATAAATCTCAAATCCGTCCCTGTATGGAATACTGTTGCCACATCTGGGGCGGATCTTCTAATGATGCTCTTTCTCTTTTAGACAAGGTGCAAAAACAAATTGTAAACATAGTTGGACCTGCTCTGGCAGCCAATCTCCAACCTTTGTCACATCGTCGTAATGTTGCTTCTCTTTCTCTTTTCTACAAATACTATAATGGGCACTGCTCTAAAGAGCTAGCGTCCCTTGTGCCATCTACTAAAATTCATTCTCGTGTTACTCGCCATTCAATTAAGTCTCATCCTTTTTCTGTGACTGTTCCTAAGTGCTTCAAAAACTCTTATTCTTCTAGTTTTTTTCCTCGAACATCAGTTCTTTGGAATTCGCTTCCTTCATCTTGCTTTCCTGATTCATATAATTTGCAATCTTTTAAGTCATCAGTCAATCGTTATCTTGCTCTACAGATTTAGTCTTTTCTCTTCCAGTAACTTCCAACTCTTATAGTGGTTGCTTGCAGCCTTGTTGGAAGTGAAGATGTTAAAAAAAAAAAAAAAAAAAAAAAAAAAACACATCTTTACTTCCAACAAGGCTGCAAGCAACTGCTATTAGAGTTGGAAGTTAGTGAAAAAGAAAAGATGAAGTTTGTAGAGCAAGATAACAATTAACAAACGACTTAGTTAGGGACTAAGGATAGTAACTACATCAGTAGGTAGGGACTAAGGATAGTAATTGCATCAGCAGGCAGGGACTTAATATAGTAACTACATCAGTAGGTAGGGACTAAGGATAGTAACTACATCAGTAGGCAGGGACTAAGGATAGTAACTAAATCAGTAGGTAGGGACTAAGGATAGTAACTACATCAGTAGGTAAGGACTAAGGAACTACATCAGTAAAAGTTTAAAGATTAATCATAGTTGTATTTTTGAATCAATAAAACACATCCTGAGGTTTCTTTTTGAAATCAATAAAACACATTCTGTGGTTTCTTTTTGAAATCAGTAAAAGACATTCTGTGGTTTCTTTTTGAATCAGTAAAATGCATTCTGTGGTTTCTTTTTGAAATCAGTAAAACACATTCTGTGGTTTCTTTTTGAAATCAGTAAAACACACTCTGTTGTTTCTTTTTGAATTAGTAAAACATATTCTGTGGTTTTTTTTTTTTTTTTGAATCAGTAAAACAAACTCTGTGGTTTTCAACTTGTAACACACTTTGCTTGCTTTTTCCATCTTTTGTGAGGGACAGTGAAAAGTCTTTCATCAATTTTATACCTCGATTTGCACGCAGAGATTTAAAGTAGTTAAAAAATTTTTTTAAACATCTTTACTTCCAACAAGGAAGCAAAAGCAGAAATTTTGTTGCCTTCAGCAACAAAATTTCT